CCCGCCCCTGCCGCCCCGACCCCGGCCAAAAAACCCCCAACCAAACTAAAGCAACAACAAAACCCAACACCAAACCACAGTGCCCTCCTCATGTTTTTATTTCCCTGACTTTGGATAAAAACAAAATAACAATAAAACACCAACCAAAAAAATCAAACCCAACTCCCCCTTACTAGTTAATGGAAATGTCAACTCTACTCTTGCGTGGCCGTACTAAAGAATTTGTTGGAGTACCTGACTCACGAACCATAGCTGAGAGATCAGATGTCACTAAATAATTGATGGGAATACCTTTCTCCAAGGCAGAACCTAAGAGTTAAATATGAACAAACAAAAATTAAGGCATGGGGTTTTTTTTAAAAGCTATTATTGGCTTTTGGACTCTCAGTTCCTTTTACATACCAATAGAAACATGTAGGGCACTTTTGAGAAAATGTCACCTAGTAATCTGACAATAATTTGTGTCCTTCTCTAGTATTTAGTTTTTACTAAAATAAAAAAGTAAAATCCAAGTCCAGGCAGTGTTTCTGGAAGCGTACTGATGAAAATTAGCAGAGAGCACTGTGCGTGGCAAGTCCAAGAGTAGCACGCAGATCTGCATATCAGCATGAGGTGTAGTTATTTGTCTTTATTAAAGAGTGGGAGGAATGAAGACAGTCTTGTAGGAGGCTTGTTGGGCCCTTTGCTCAATTATGTGTGTACTTGCAGAGTGTCATGGTGTGACTTTCAGCTGCCTCGACTCAGCATAATGATAAGGAGTCTGAGAAATCCCAGTGACTTCTATCGGCTCAAGATGATAGAGCTGGAGATGTGTTCCCAGGGTTGTTGAACCAGAAACATTTGCCAGCTTTTAGTTAAGCAAGAACAGAACAATGAACCTCAAGTAAAACTCTGATTCAGACTCTCCCACGTTCCAGAAAAATGATCTGCAGTCTTTGTAATTGCAGGTCAAAAACTCTGCATCTGAGCTTCCTGACAACTTGGAGATGCTCCAGTCTGAGTCCTGGTTCCAAACTGTACAGCTTGAGCCAGACTCTACAAAGAATCAAGCAGCGTAGAATAACTGGTTACAGCTGCCATGAGAAGAGGGTCTGATGCACATGTTAGAAAACTTACAGTGGTAGCTTTTTTTTTCCCCTGTTAGGTGACATTAAGTTCTAAAAGCGGAATTAATAAATGATTTCTTTGGGCTAACTGATTGCTGCATTTTCTGCATAGCATAGTGGCAAGCCAGTATAATGTACAATTCATCTCCACTTTGCCTTCCCTTACAAGTCAGTTGTGATTTTGAAGCTCAATGCATATTGGACTAAACAAAAGCTGCCTAGAGAGAGGAATAGGCAATCCTCTTTGGCTTCCCTAGTTAAAATTGCAGCTGCAGAGACAAGAGACTTTTGGGGTTTTGTCAGCAAATGAGTATAACGCACAAAGCCAGATATCCAAAGATTGGACCGGAGGATGTTCAGTGGTTTTCTGTAGTTTATGCTGTTTGTGTGAGAACAGCAGTAATATCTCCCTGTCTTTCCCATAGGAATCAGATGATGAAGATGGATTGCCAAAGAAAAAGTGGCCAACCGTGGATGCATCTTATTATGGAGGTCGAGGTGTTGGTGGGATTAAGAGGATGGAGGTATTTGGCTTGTTCTTTAGCATTGTAAAAATCGGCACATTTAATTCTAAATTGTAGCAATATGTTCTTATATGACTTTTAAAAAGCTACCTTGATGGACTAGAGACTGGGATTTAATTAGGGCTTGTCTGCCTGATTGCACCTGCTGTCCAAGTAACAGACATCAAGCTGCCATCATTTGCCTGAATAATTAAATGAATCTAGCATTATGAGCCAGAGAAAAGTTGCAGGTTAAGAAATGGGTTAAGCATCAAAAGAAGTTTTAATTTACTGAATCAAATCCTTCAATGCAGTTGGGTCCAGTTCTCGTCTCAGGCAGAGTTACACTGGTTTTGAGTATTTGCAGGTGCCATCTACACTGTGCCTGGCTGGCTGGAAGCAGTTGGTTTGGGGAATTTAAACCAGTGATTTTTCTTTTTTTTTTTTTCTCCCTCTTTTTTCCCTTTTGGGTTTGGTGTTTTGGGGTTTGGTTTTGTGGTTTTATTTTTGTTTTTTTCCAGTTAAGCATTAATTCCTAATGCACAAAAACACATCTGTGTTGAAACTGGCCAGTGCCCTGGGATTCATGCACAAGCCAGTCTTGATGTGTAAAGTGAGGTGTTACTGTGACAGAAATTTGACTTGTGCTGTCCTGTGGCATGTACATTCCAGGGAGTCAGTGGATAATGCTGTGATCAGCTGCTAACTCCTGTAAATAATCATATTAGTGAAATCAATTCAATATTCCTAACCACGGATAATATAAGGCAGGGAATTGTCGGTCATCTGTATCAGCTGAGGGCCTAATGATGACTTTTTAGACATGTTGCACCAGAACTCCCACTAGATTTAGCTGGTAGCTGAGGGAGGCAGGCTAATGTAAGCCAGCTAAGGATCTGGACCAAACTAGGGCTAATATAATGAAAGCAATGGCTTCTCAGCAAGTCCCTGCAAATCTGCAGTTGAAGTATTGCATCTTAATATCCTTAACCATTTTCCCTGGGAGAATTTTATCCTTGATGCTGAGTAACACTATGGATTGTTTATTGCCCTTGAATGCAGCATCACATTTCTGTTTAAGGCAAGTCAGACAACAAAATCAGAATTTCAGCTTGAAATAAGTAATGTATCATATGTGAAGATAAAGTTACCAACCTGTCTTGTGACTGTGCAAGGTCATCTTTGGAAGAACTGGTTTTAGTAGTAGCTGCACAAGTTTGAGGGCTCGTGCTCTTAAACCATCCACGTACTTGTCCACTGACCCTTTTTTCACTTTTGAACTGAACAACAGGAGCTGCTATGGGCTAGCTGTAAAGACTGCCTACCTTCAGCAGGTGCCGCTGCCTGCTTTTTGCACGAGGCAGTGGGAAGTGTATTACACCTGTGTCCTAGTGGAGCTGGGCAGAGTGCTTCAGATTTCACTTGGAAATGGGTTAATCTGCCCTGGATGCTGTGAATTCCCACGCTGCCTTAGGCTACTGGAGGGTGCAAAGGCTAGTAGTTCAAGCAGCTTCTGAGCGAGACTATTTGATTGTTAAATGTGTATTTCTGATTACAGTGGGAGTTTGGTGCCTTCATAAATTTGGCTTCATGTCTGATGGCATCGGGTCATCTGATGGGAACTAGATTAATGTCTGTGAAAACCACCTGCTGGTGGGGACTGCTGAAGTGTCTCTACTTAGTGTGCTCTCCTGACTTCAGGTGCGATGGGGAGACAAGGGGTCAACAGAGGAAGGAGCAAAACTGGAGAAGCCCAAAAATGCTATTATTAAGTTGCCAGAACAGGAGTATGAGCCATGGGAACCCAAGCCAAAAAAGCCCCATGTGAGAAAACCACCTTCCCAGCGGAAATGGTACACTCCGATCAAGGTAATGTGTCTGCCCCTCAGTTTTACCAAGTCTCTTATGTCATGCATGTTACAACATCCCACTTCCTTAGCGCAGCCTTTCTTACGGCAGAGCTGGGAGAACCTATTTAGAAAAATGGCCAGTAACCCTCAACTTTGCCCATTTCTTGGAACGTGCATTTCACTTGGCATGGTGTTGCCATAGTTTTTTGAGGAAGAGTGGAGGGTGTTGGAGGGCGTAAGCAGAGATCTTCCCTCCATCAGCTCACACCTTCTTTTCAGGTACTTTTGCACAGCCTGGATTGCAACAGCAGATATCTCAGCTCTTAGGGATGGCAGATACTGTTTTGTGCCATCTCAAGGCGGCACATACAGAGGATCAGATGAAGTGCACCGTCCTTGCTTTGATCACACTGTGGCTAAGGCCTTGGATTGGGATTCAGCTCTGTTCCCTTCTAGTTCAGCCACAAGATGTAGTGTTTGATTTTGGGCAAGTCGCTCAGTCTCTGCACACTTTCATCCCCATTTCTCCCATGTCATTATAGTATCTGGTGTCTCCCTGTCTTTTAATGTATGTATCCTCAGGCAACCCTTGAGGCAGGGCAGAGCTGTTATCTCTGCTTACGGAGAAGGAAGCTGGAGCGCTAGTATAAGCCAAGGGAGCAGCATACCATGCTCACCCCAGAAACCCGTGGCTGTGTCCCAGACCAATGCTCTGTGGGATGAGGTCCCCCCTCCCCACCATGGTCACAGATCAGTTTAACAGTGCTTAAATTTATTGTCTGGAAAGCACCTGTGTCTTTTAAAGTCTGCCTAGGTGGGTAGGCTTGTGGCTGTTTATCCATGCTCCAGCTCACCTCCCATCAGTACAGTACTTTCATTTTTTCTGCCTTTTGTTAATGTAACACCTGCGTAATTGTGCCTCTTAGGGGAGTTGTTCACATTAAACTACAGTCATCCTCAGTGAGTTTCGAGCAGTCTGAATTTGGCCCATTGCATATTGGGTACATGTTACCTCACTGAAGTCTCTTTTCTGGCTGTCCAGATAAGCAGTATACAGAGGGCAAGGGCACAGGTGCAATGTTTGTGCAGACAGTTTAATACAGAAAGGCTGGATGAACTCACCTTTAGTTTAATCTTGTGCTGTTTTCCCAAAATTTCTTGGTCATGTCTTACGGTTTTGTTTTGGTTTGTTTTTTTTTTGTAATTCCAGGGCAAACTTGATGCACTGTGGGCTTTGGTTCGACGAGGCTATGATCAAGTCTCTCTTATGAGACCACAGCCAGGGGATAAGGTAGGGTGTCACAAACACGCTGGTGTGTCACTTCGTCACTTCTCTGTTAGCAGCAGCAATGCTCTTCCCTCCCAACCACCCCATCTTTCTTTTCTCTCTTTTTTTTTTTTTTTTGAGCTTGTCTCTTTTCACATTACCCTAAGGCTAAAAATTTGTCACAAGAACCAGAGATTTCAAAATGAGCTAAAATGTTTGCTGTGGCACCTATTTAAAAGTATTGCCCCAAAAGGTTGACAGCAATGTCTCCACTGTGATGATTTGAGCGGACTGAGGCTGGCTGGCCACAGTATTATACAAGACCTTTTTCAGCTGTATAAGTTCTTAGCCTTTTTTTCTGGGCACATGTGTTGAAGTCAAAAGGATAGGTTCTTTGGGGGTTCTGGGGGATTGCTTGTTTTGAATTTAATATGCACTAGTTGTTCTACAACAGTAATTATCCTTCCTACCCAACTTCATAAAAATGCTTCTCAGATTTAATAATAGTTAAGTGATTAATGAGAGAAATTCTGAACTGTGCAGGTGATGAAGAAACAAATTATAGCAAAGTTAATGGAGAATAAAGTTTCTGTAGAGTTCTATGCAAAGACACATTTCTCTGTCATCTCCTATATGTAGGCAGAGAGTATCTCCTGCCTTGATAAAGTCTGTTGGTCAAACATAGGTCAGGAGTAGATTCCTCCTGGTAGGAAGCAGGGAGTTTGTGCCTTTCAGAGCCACGGAGGTGTCTGTGTGCTGCCCCTGGGTCACTTGCGATAGCTTAGTTTGGAGCTCTCACAATTGCCCCAGGAGAGCCTGGCGCTGTTATGGTTGTCTTGTTATTCTGGGGGGACAACTGAAAGAATTGAGTGCTGCTACTTTGGGCTCTTGCACCTTCAGATTTGGCTTTCTTGTGGCATTTTGAAACATGAGGACTGAGCAGAGACAATAGCATCTTTCTCCCCCTGTGGCCCTTCTCCGGCCAGAGTCCCTTTCATCGCTTTGCTCTCAGGGGAAGGGGTTATAGAGTTACAGCAGTCGGGGCCATAAAGTGCTTTTCTGGAGTAGGAGTGGTGCAGGGGCCCTTGTGCTGGGCTTGTTTGCCTGGGTGACTTTCACACCTAATAACAGACTTTAAAAGCAGCCCTAATTTGCATCATCTAGAGCAAATAAGTTGCATCCCTCTGGCTTTTGGCAAGATACCATTATGGCATTTGTCTAGTTATTAACCAAACGTGCAGCTTCAGTATTTAAAGTTTAGTCTCTTCCATTTTTCTTTTGATGCTTAAGGAAGCTAAGAACAAACTCAGCTTCCTATGCTACTTTGTAAAATGGTCTTAACTGTTTCACTAGGCTGCATTTTCAAGGCAGCTGTGCTCGGGACACCTTATTTACTTTTTAAGCACGATCTAGAGCTTCTGAATAGGCTCTTTAGGCCCAGCTGTATTTTGATAGCACTAACATTGTATAATATAAATCTATCCTCTGCCTTTCACTCCCTCGGTTGGTACATTTCTATCGGTGCAGAGCACAACAGAGCCTCTGTTAGCCTGCACGGTCAAGAAACATGCAGGGGGCTGGCTCTGAACAGGGATCCTCAGTTCCTTGCCTTCCAGCTCTGCTGAGAGGATAATGAGGGGCTCAAAAGAGGCAATGTAAAACAGCGAGCTGAAGGATTATTGTATCAGGGAGAACATTAGAAAAATCAAATGTACATCTGGGAAATAGCGGGGAAAGAATCCTATTGAGCCAGATTTGGTGGAAGAATAGGATCATCTCTGTTCCCTGGCCTGTGAAATTAACTAAAGCTGAAGAATATTGAAAGCAAAACAAGAAAATGACTGGGCATCCTTCTGTTTAGGAAAATAAATAAACAAAGGGCATCACAGGCCTGTATTTCATGGAGAAAGCTAGCACAGAAAAGAGCAAGGTTATTATTTATTGTTTGGTTGACTTTTCTAGTAGCAATCCCTCAGTGGAGAGTTGCCTCCTTGCGAGTTAGGCATTTGGTGGGGGGGAAGTGTATAAATATACGTGTATGTATGTGTAAGTATACATGAGTGTACACACACATGCACACAGTTACTTTGTGGCTGAAGAATGGGGAGATCAAGTCAGTGCTATGAGTGACCGGCAGCCTGGAGAGCCTGGAGCTCTGGCTGTGCGGAGCTGGAGAAGCCCGGCAGCCCCGGGAGCGAGCCCACAGCTCTGCTCAGGCGGGGACAAGGTCACTCCTGTGCAGGTGTGCTGACAGCAGTCAGTGGATTTTGGTTTACCCTTGGGTAGACATGAGAGTACAGCCTGACATGCCTCGGCGCGTGGTGTTCTTCCAGGCTGCGCCATCCAGCTGCCAGTGACTGCGGGGATCTTGGAGAGAGGGGTTGCTTTGCTTTGCGGGGTTTTGAGGTGTTTTGCGGGGGGCAGGGGGAAGAGCTCTTTGGGTTTTTTGGTTTGCCTTTTTTTGTTTGATTTTAAGGTAATTACATAGTTGTCTTGGTTGTTCAGGAAAACTTAGAGCTCAGAAAGCAAAAGGAACACAATTTAACTCTGTTTTAGGAGTGACATTTGGATCCATAACTCAGAAAATTCATATCTCTGAATTTCCCAGAATCAGTCATATTATTATCTTTACATTTTCAGGGATTACCAGAGATATAGGTTGTTTCCCACTGGAACAAGGTAACTCACTGAAGTTACATTTTCCAAATTTCTGTTTCACAGTTTACCTCCATTGAAAAAAGTTTTCATTTTCCATTTTTGTTGCTTCAATTGGGCATATGTTCGCTTTTTGCAGCCATTGGGAGAAATTACAGCAGAACACTTTTTTCTGCATAATGAAATACCAATTATAGAGAAGAGAACATCCACAGTACAGGGAGAAAAATATTTTTCACAGGGCTTTTGGGACAGCAAGAAGATGACAAAGGAGAATTTTTTGACATTAAAACATTCTTTAAAAACTCTTTTGAAAAGTATAATTTCTCTTATTTGCAAATGAGTACTGTGGTTTGGGAACTTTTCTCCCCCCAGAATTGAAAAATACTTGTAGAAAAACTTTCTGTGATACTTTTGGTGGAAAACAAAATATGTTAATGGTTTTGGTGTATTCACCAATGTATCTGGTTTTGTCACAGAGAAGTAAAAGTCTGTTAGACATTTTTCAGAGCTGTTCAGCGTCTTCCCCACAACACAGCCCTCTTGTCTTTGGCTCTGCAAACCATACCGCAAAGGTGGTATTGCTACCCCAGGTTTTCAAATAATGACTTGTCCCCTACTTCCATCATGAAGTGAAGTTAAAAATGGCACCGTCTGTATTTTTTTGAGTCTTCATGTGGGGAAGCCCATTCCAGAGTGTGTGTGAGAGCCTTGCAGTAGAAATTCAGGCTGAAGCATGTGTGCAGGAATACGGGGCTGACTGCTGCAAGGCACTTTCTGTTGCCCTTTGCTCTGGGTGGCCAGGGCTGCTGTCCATCCATCCTCATTTCTTCCTTCATCGTGATCCTGTTGCCTTTCCCAAACCACCTGCTCTTTTCCTTACCTGTGTCCCCCTTAGACTCCTGCCCTAGCCATTCCCTTCCTTTTCCTTTTGTGGTTTCTTCCTCTCCAGCTGTCTTTCTCATCCTTGTTTCCCTGCTCATCCCCTTGATAAGACAGACTGGTGCCCTGCAGTCCTGCCCTCTGGGAGCAATGGGCTGGTGACCAGCCTCCTTCCCCTGTTCCTCTCACGCTGCAGGAACTGAGCTGCTGGTAGTGGCATGCCCTGGGTTATGGCCTCGCTGCAGAGCTGGCTGCAGCTCCTGAGAGCTCCCCTGCCCTGGCTTGTGCCTTCCACGGACTTATCAACGAAATGATCTCAAGATGGATGACCCATCAGTATGAGGCAGGATTGTATTAATAGGACTGGCTGTGAAAATCACAGTTGCTTTTCAGAACTGCCTATTTAAAGAAAACCAGCCAAGCACAAGCTCTGATGCCCCTTCTCCTGGGAGCTGTGCCCACGGCATTTGGCTTGGCTCTGCAGACAGCTCCTCCTCTTGGTCTCCATTCAAGATCATGTCGTGGCACCACCCCTGAAACTGGTTATTAGTTTGGCAAGTACCTCAGTAAAGGGTCACAGGATCCTGCTCACTTGACTTCTGCAGGTCACCCCTAGCAGGAGCTTCTGTTGCACCAGAATGGGACAGCAAGGGGTAAACGCACTTAGCTCTACCCCATCATTAGCAGATAGGCTGCTATTTGTGGGATGGCTTTTTGCTGAGCTCTCAGACAGCATCAGCAGAGAAGTGAAGAGACGAAAAAGAGCTAGTGGCTCTGCTGCAGATTGCTGGGCTTTCTTGCTTGCAGTAATGTACAAAGGTGAAGCCTTCATAGGCATTTGTGTTACTGCTGCAGGGATGGATCCCTTAAAGCTAGGCTGCTATTCTTCCCTTACTGCCCCAGAAATTTGGGGCTTATAAGACCAGCAGTCAGTCTTTCAGCCCAAGAAGATTGGCAGCTCTGAGGCTGCTCATCCAGAAACAGGGAGCATGTCAGAGTGGCCACATGGCCTTGTGAGCTAATGTGTTGCTCAAGATACTCAGGCTGTCTTAAGGACTTCCCCATCACTGTGTTGGTGTCCTCCTGAGCTTGGTTCTGAGCTTGTAGGGGGCTGCTATGAAGATTGGAGTTTGGGAAATATTAACATCTGGCTATCTTGAAGTATCTCATAGAAACCACAGTAGCTGGTGGGGCAGGCTGTCAGTTGTCACTGCAAAAGGGAACTTTCAAGCTCTTCCTCTTGGCCTCATGGATCAAAAGTGGGGCTGTTGCCAATGCCAGCAAGTAAACATTAAAAGCCGTAATGTATGCAGAGAGGAAGGCGAGATGCTTCTTTCAAATGGTCTGTTTAGTTGCTGCTTTCAGCAAATCCAGTCCGTTTTGCATTTCAGCGCATACTGTCACAGGAAATTCTCAGAGGCTCGGTTTACCCAAAAACCTCAACTAAAAAAAAAAAAAAAAAAGACGTTTTTCCCCCCAAGGCAGAA